GCAGCCCTATAAGACTGCTACAGCAATGGTAGCCAACGCATGCTCCCTTGGAAATCTGCAGTCACAGCGCCATGCTATGTACTTCCTACAGGAGTGGAGAAGAACAGGATGTCCTGTGTCAGGCATCTTTCCTGGCCCTTCAACTCAAGTATCTGCTACATCTGCTAGCAGCACTCAAAAGCAGCAGCAGCTTGTCCAGAACCAGGCTGCTCAGAACACCCAGCTGCCAGCTGCTAGCCAGCAGTTCAGTAGCCTGTGGCAGTTCCTGATGCACTTTGATGCCAATGCAGGGGCTTTGCAGATCCAGTACCGGTGGGCCATGGCCCAGCTTGCTAAGCTGTACAAAGATCGAGTAGCAGAGCTGGAGAGTAATGAGCCAGGATCCAGCTCAGGCCGCAGACGACAAGGAGAAGGCAAGATCAGGACCCAAGCCAAGAATGAGATGCTTCAGGGAGTGCCTGATGGAGAGAGGAAGGCCTTTACTGTGCGTCTTAACTGGGCAGGCCGCTACCTTGATGCAGCTGAGGAGCTTGGCTGGACTTCCCTCCTCTTCATCCCTTATGAGACTATCTCAAGGCACTGGATTGAGCAGACTTTGGGCAAGAAGGAGTGGCAGCTGTGGCTACAGCTAGTAGCAAAGGTCAACCCTGTTGCTATAGAGGCTTTTGGCATAGGAGACCAGTGGCTTGGGAGCAAAGCACTTGCTGGTGGCTCTTTGGAAGGAAAGACTTGCCTGTTCATGGAAGGAGGCCTACCTCAGCCCCTGCAGTCTGCAGAAGAAGGTTCAGAGGAAGAGGATGAGGATGAGGATGAGGATGATGAGGAAGACAATGAGGGAGAAGGAGGAGAAGAGGGAGATGAACAGGAGAAACAGCTTACCCTGCTTGATCTGATCAAACCTGTAGGTTAGTTTATCTGGGGTGCTTGATATAGTAACAGCCTCCTGTGTCACTGTCAGATTAGTCAAGCACATCTTCTTTAGCCTCCTACAAGAGATTCCAGATAGACATTACCTGTGAGTACCAATAGGCAGATCAGCCTTTAATCTGGCAAGATCAACTGATACTAGTTAGAGTGCCTTGGGTGCATGCTAGCTGACATGTTTACAAGCAATATGCAATGTAAACAAGCTCAGTAACTTCTGACTGACAAATAAACATTCAAAGGAAGAGCATAGCACTTCTGCAAGGACTATAGGTGGTACACTGTACAGTTTTTGAGCTCCTACTAGGATCTGTAGTCCCAGATCTTTGTTCTAGAGGGTTAGTTCATGCCCTGGAAACTGGCATGGCTTGTCTAGATTCCCTTGCTAGCTTAGTGGTTGTAACCCTGCTGTAGCTGCAGAAGAGACACAGTGTAATAGATCTGCATGTAATCTGGTGTTGTATAGCTCTCTTATATTCTTGTTTTGCTATTATCACAGTAGTTGTGTAGGAGGAAAGCAGCACTCTTGCCCTGCTACTACCACTACTCAATATCACTTTATATACTACCCAGGGCTCCTGCTAGCTGTTACAATCCATGAACAACTTGCAAAACAACACTGAACAAACAGGACTACGCAACGAGACGAGAGCAGCCAAGGAACTGCAGTATTGATTGACCAAGCTGTGAAGCCGCATCAGTGATACCCAGTATAATCAACACTTGCAATATCTGTTATACAAACCGAGATTGTACAAAAAGGACTGCAGTGGATACAATGTGGATCTCGTACACAAACAATTGCCATGGACCCATATACCGACCCACTTGCAGAGGACCGACGTCAACAACAATCAATAGGACACCGAGGACCAAGTATTGAGGTCACGTTGACAACGCTCGATTGGACCAAGTATCAAGTCACTGACAATACTTGATATGAGCAGTACAATCAATCCTCCTGTCAAGTATATAAGCAAGTAGACACGCTGCCCTTATGGCATCGTGTTCAACCTCATCAATTGTAAGGGTATCTGTGACAGCGAGCTTAGTAACAATGGGGGGTGGTCCCATAAGATTAATTGCTACCGTTTTCCTGCCCATTGTGTGCCCGATTATCTATGCGCTCTCGTCTGTACCACGCTAGCGTCCCGATGGGTTAGCGCCATCGTTCCGACACGTGACAGCCTACTTCCCTACAGCACCATGACCCCGTTACATCAATCAACTTTGTTATTGGAATCTCACCTGCTCTCGAGCCAGACAGTATACTCTGTACTACTCATTGCAACCAGTCATTACAGCCTCTGGCTAGATGGCTATTACCTCGACTATTACAAAGGCTACTACCGCCTTGCCCCGATAGTCTACCCCTGACCACCTGAGCCTTGCTTAGGTGACTGTCAAACCCCTACAGACTCCCTGTACCTCTGCTCATCCCCAAGAACCAATCAAATAGTGTCTACAAGCTTTGCTTAAGGCATGAATCGCAACACACTTCTCCCTGAGAACCAACCCGACTAGTGCCTACAAGCTTTGCTTAAGACATGACCTCAACACTTCCCTGCAGAACTCCATAACCCTAACCTTAAACGTCAAACCCTAAACCCTAAACCCTCATTTGACCCCTAAAGTAACCCCTTTGCTCTACTTTAACAAACCTACTAGTCCTTCTAAAAAAACCCAGCCATCTGCTATCTGTAGAGAAGGCGCTCTGCTCTCCTATCTTAGAGGCTATACCAACTAGATTAGTAGCTTTTAAAAGAATCAGTACTTAACCTACTAGCCCCTCTGACGAACTTGGGCGCCCTACCCGCCAAACTTGGGGCCTACATCCGCTAAGTTGGTGATTCTTTTTGGAGATCCTCTAGGCTCTTGTAGGCTCTGCTAAACTTACTAGTACCTTACTTGTACATTTTCTGTTTTCCCCTTGCGCTTTTTCTCCTGTACGCAAGGTAACTGCCTGTTCGCTATCTTGCCCCGAGTTGCCGTCCCCAACAGCAGCAAACAACAAGACAAGAAAACCAATGAGACCAAAGCTAGTGAGGTATCTCAAGACATTCAAGGTCCCTTGATGGTGGCAGTGGCGATGAAGAGGAAGGTAACGACCCATGTAGTGATGCATGTATTGAACGAGGTAGCGACAACGAGGAGAAGAGGAGAAAGGCAATATTGATAAACCGCAGAAGTACACCATTTCCGATACCAAGGGGAGTACAAGAGTCCTGCAAGCACGGCGCCTTCTAATATGTTCTCGAAAGCTAAACAGGAGGCTCAATACGGTCCCAATCGTGATTCTCATGCAAATGTTCCAGAGGGGATTTGCACATGAAACAGTAATCAAAATTAAGGCAGGTACGACAGCGGAAGCGTGGCCCATAGAGATCCTAGAAGTCGTGAGGCTCAGCTCAGATCTACAGAGCAATGTACTTACGTGGAAGCATCCGTCGCACCAAGCACCACCATGTGTACCGCCTGTGATGTAAGCACTTATATCTCCAACACCAAGCGCAGCTTGGCAGTGTTCAGACAAGCTTGCTACCATACCCCTATGCCCGTGGAAAACCGCAATCGCAAGAGGTGTCCAGTCGCCTTGCAACTCAGCAACAGTGAAGCGCTCGCTTTTCCACCCTCGAGCAATTAGTAGCTCCACAACCTCGGCTTTTCCTGCCTTGCAAGCCCAATGGAGAGGACTCCAACGCCCTTGTCGAGAAGCGAGTTCAGGTTTCTGCTCCAGTAATAGGTTAAGGACCGCCAGAGAGCCTCCCGACGACGCAAAACTAATCAGGTTGTCCCCTTTCGCATCTGACGTAGTGAAATCCATGCCCTGGCTTACGAGGTACTTGAAGGTCTCTATATGTCCACCCCTTGCGGCAAGAATCAAAGTCGTTCTCCCATGAGTGTCTGCTAGATGTAGGTTAACATTGTTGTGATCAACGATGAAGCGCAGAAGGTCTGTGTGCCCTTTGAAAGCAAAACCGTTTGCAACGGTTCCGTAGCGTCCACCCTGCGCATTGACGTTGGCGCCTTTGTCCAGCAGCATCTTGACTATCTGCTCATGGCCTCTAGTTGAAGCTGCCTGCAGTGCGT